CAGATGTTTTTGCTAAAACCAAAAGAAATTGAGTAGAAAATCTGAAAGTAAATCAATACTGGGGACACAGAAAGGCATAAAGAGCACGTTTATATCCTTTGAGGTATCCTTGAAAAAATTGAAATTGGAATATTTTCCCATAAAAATACTCACGAATGTAATAATCTTTGACATAAGGGGAGTCTGGAAACTCAGCACAGGGTTTGCTTTCAATGCTGTTTCATACCTGCTTTGACTGAAGTCACTCCCTGCCCAACACTCTCCACAACACCAGCTGCTTCATGCCCAAGAATTATTGGGAAAGGCTTAACCAGTGCACCAGTTATCACATGGTCATCAGAGCGGCAGATCCCGGTGGCCACGATCTGATTCACAGAAAGAGAAGAATATTTCTGCATTCAACTATGTCAGGTCATATACAGAAGTGAAATGATACTCTACATTTGGAAAAGCCACTTGCTTTTCTCCAAAATACAATATGCACTCGAAAGACCTACAGGTAAAACAAATTTAGTTGTCTGATTTAAGATTTTCATGGTATTTAGTCTTTAATTTACAGGGCAGAGCTCCTTTGTGAATGTTTGCTATGCAGTACTGAGTTCTATAGGGAGTTCAATGAATTTTCTGCAGAAAACCAATGTTCTAGCAATACAATTATTTAGGGAGAACAGAGTAAATTAAATTATTCCTAATATTTATATAGAAATACAAAAAAAGAAAAGTGTGTAATATTATATAAATATTATAAAATATGTAAATACAAATTAACAATCACATATTATTTATAAACAGAAATAGTGTGTTTTTATTAGAAATAGAAATATTTTATATTTATTATATTTAGATTAGATGACAATATATGAGATATTTATATAAATTATGTAATATACAATTATTTTACGTTCTAGATAATTACATAATTATATTAATGTACTGTGTATATATTTAAAATATTTGTATATGATACATTTTAAAAAATTTAAGCTACATACTGTGTTATATGACATTTTGCCTTTTCTTGCAGCTAGAACAGCACTACTTCTTTTGAAATATTCAGGTATGTATTTACAACTTTTATTCTGACAAATGTATTTGTCAACCCCATGAGAGGATTTTCATCACGTGTGTAACATTTGAAACTGCTCAAAAATTAAGGCAGCTGCTGAAATCCACTAAGGCAAATATCCAGGTAAATAAGGAAGCTCCCAGGCCTAATAAGCTATTTCCTAGAATAGATTCAAAATAATTTTCTTGCTCCACACTACAGGAAATTCTGAATTTTTCCTTGTACTGTAATTTTTTCAACCTATTAGAAAAACAGATGTCAGTAAACAAAACATACAATCCTGAAAACCCTTTTTTTTTTTAAAGAACCTCATCATAAAATTAAGGATGTTAAACATGCTCCATAGGAGCTCACTAATTAGTAACTGCTTTCTAGTAGAACGTTTTCTGACTGGGTCTTAAAAATTTATAAAACTAATTCTAATAAAAAGCAAGATAGAATGCAAGTCATGGAGTTGTTTTAAATTTTGTTTTTAGTACCTTTATGCGAACTTCATGTTCTTTGGGGGGGGCAACTTCCACTTCCTCAATGCTGAATGGTTTATTGGCTTCCCACAGCACTGCTGCCCTGCATTTAATAACCTGCAAACAGAGCAAAAAAAAGGGGAGTGGCACTTGCATTTTCAAGTCACCACACAGAGGGATTCTTCCGTTTCTGCATGTGAAACTCTTGCTCATAATTGTGGAGAAGAGAGGGAAACTACAGGGAAAAAACCCAAACCAAACAAGAAAAAAGTCAACACTGAAGTCGGTGTAAGCCAATTTTTCCCTCCATCAAGATCATGTGTGACTTTGCTCGTATTTCTCACATCAAGTTTTCAGCTGCATGTGAAATAGTCTCCTAGGTAACAGGATGCCTTACCCATTCTCATTTCTCCTTTGCGAACTTCCTTGGTCAATTTCTTTTGCTGTGTTGCATTACTTGTTTGTGTTTGTATCTTCTTAAAGATGGCATACTAAATGATGTCACTTAGCAGGCTGTGATAAAGTCTGTGTTGCCTAGACCTGTCAGTGTTGGGAACTGACAAAATCACTCATAATGGAATTCAGAGCCTAGTACAGATTTATAAACATTCTGGTAGAGCCCAAATTCAGCCACGAGGTGATGGCTTAAAGGACATCTGTGCAAACTGATGTAGCACTACACAGAGGTGATCTTGAATAGTCCCTTCAAGTGCAGTATTATCCATGCTAGGTACCCTCCTTCTCAAAAGGGATATTTAACTCAGATGGATTTACTACCCAACTATCCAACACAGATTTTTTTTTCATCTCTTAGACTGAAGTTTGTCCATTAATTCTTCAGGCTTTGTCCTGGTAATGGCAGGCCTTAGGGCTCCTCTGCCACTGAGAGAAAAATGCCCTCAGAAAAGAGAAGAGCATTGTCCACACCTCATGCCAGGCTCTATTACAGGTTTCCTCCCTGTAAGCTCAATCGTAGTGTATTCAAAAGCAGTGGGACCTCTCTGTCCCCGTAATTTCTGTTCTTTCTTGGAGGTGTTTCAAGATCTCATCCTAGGTATTTAAACAACCCTAGTCCCTGAAATATGATTTTCCTGGGTGACACATTATAAAGTCCTCAGTCATTCTGTAAAGTCTACTGACTGCAAGTGTTCAGGTAACACTATCTTGTGAAGGAAATGGAGGGGAATCAAATCCAGGATGCAAGAAGTTTAGCACATGCATACTTATCCTGTGTGACCAGGACAACTTAACACCAGTGTGCTGCAAAATTCACAGAGGAAAACAACAAACAAATTTTTAGTATCAAAACTTTTGAAGTAGAAGTAGAAATAATGTCTGATTATCCACAAACTCACAACTGGTAACAAAGAAAATAATTACTAGGAAATACTAAACATACGAAATAAAATTGCAGACTTTCAGCAGCCAGATTCAGAAGTGGAATGGGCACAATGCTTTGAAAATAACTGCTTTAAGAGATATTTATACTAAATTTAATGTTCAGATTAAAGTGTGATTAGTGAAAAATTTACAAGTGTGGTCAAAGGTCGCATTTCAAAGGGCACTATTTTCTAGGAAACTTACTTAAAAGGCAGTTTATGTATTTATGTTGTATCCCACTTAAGACAGTGATGATTTCATGACTTGCACGTGCAAAGCACACATGTTTCTAAGAACAAAGGTGGCCAAGAAGTGTGGATTGCCGAGAACAAATAAATCTCTTCTATAATTAGACATTAGTTAACTGGGTATTGTTCTGATTGTTTGGTCCCTGTGAGCTTTTACGGATTGCCACAGGATCCCACAGATGCAGCAACAGCACACTATCACCCACTTCATCTGCTAAAACAAGCACTGGCTCAACCATTTTCCTCTGCTCCTGTGTTCTACCAGCGGGGGAGGGCAGGTGTAGGAACACACCCTTGTACAGGACACAAGCATTATGCTGCTTGGTTACATAAATTGCACTGTATCTCCCGTGTTATTCCAAGATAAACACAGTGAAATCAAAGCAGTCAAGATACATCACAACCTTTCCTTCGCTGTGCTCCGTCCATTGCTGAATAGAGGACTGAACTCGGTGGACTTACTACAAGTAAGCTACAATTAATTTTGCACTTGCAGTAACTCAGAGTTAAAGAGAGCATTTTTCCCCTTTCTCTTTTGGTTTTAGAATAGTGAAGAGAGCTGGCAGTAACAGCAAATGATCCTCGTACTATCTTAAGGCACATTCTGCATGCTTTCAGTTGTTTTCCATTTCTAGTTGCTTGTCCCTTAACCCCTCTTGCAGGTCCCTGGGTGTCTGATAGCATCTCGCCAGCAGTGCAAGAAGAAACATGTATTGGTATCAACCTTCATCTCTCTTGTCATCTAATTTCTAGAAAAGATGTAACTACTCACTTCAATCCTAGCTCAGTACTGCATTGCATGTGAAGTTTACTTCTGTTCTTCATTAATTAAAGTTTGAGAGTTGTTATATGCAGAGTCAAATTTAACGACTGTCCCAATGCCAGCACAATTCATCCTGAAATTTAACACAATACTAGCTACATAAATTTAACACAATATTAGCTATATCTTCTTTTTAGAAAACAAGCAGATAGAATTATAAATAAACTAAAAATAGTTTAAGCTACTGTAGGCTCTCAAAATGGAAACTGGTAGACAAGATAAATGCATTGATCTAAACACTTAGTACATTCTATCCTATTTTGAACTACCAAATCAGAGATTAAAAAGAGTTTGCTAACCCAGACAGGATATTGTTCTTATTCTGGTGCCTCAAATAAACTATTGCCTTGAAGAGTTAACAGCCATTTCCTAGGAAACTACAGCAGCCTGCAAATAAAGGCAGCTCTTCTGTACTAGCTTCTGTACCATCCTAAACTCTAATCTGTGCTATACCACCAGGATTTACACTGTCCCTGCAAAGAGTTCACATTTAAAAATGCATTACTGAGCTGCAGCAAAGAAACTTTCCTAATACAAACTGTTGCTTACTTTGCCTGCTGTGCTCATGTTGACCGGTGTGTCTGTTGCAAATCTTGCCACGGCTGATTTCTTGAACCAAGAACTTAGTCACTCCCAGAGCAGCTGGGTTGCTGGTACCACAAGTCCTCTCCAGCACACTGGAAGCTGGTTGTGTCAAGCACTCCTACAAGTGGACTGCACTGATCTTTTAGCCAAGCCTCCCAGCTCAGAGTCCCACCCCTCAATCAGAAAAAGTGCTAGAATGAGAGTGAACCTCTCATCTGATGAAACGTCACTCTTTCAGTGCTATTCTCTTCCTGACTCCTTTCTCATGCTCTTCCCTACCTTTTTTTGCAGCCCACCTGTGGTTGCCCTCGACATCATGGAACAAAAGCAACAGCCCTGGCTGGAAGCTATTTCCCTTTTTCCACCTCCCTGGAAGCTGCCCTCCAAA